CCACCGCCTCGTAGCGGCTCTGCCCCGGCAGCAGCAGCTGGTCCAGGATGTGCAGCGAGCCCCGGGAGGAGCGGATGGCTTCCAGCGCCATGGCCTCGGTAGCCGCCGTGCGCGCTCGGCCGCCTTCCGCAGCGCGTGCGCCCGGGACGCACGGGAACGGGGCGGGACCAGGTCTCTGGGCGGGGAAAGCTCCGGAGCCGGACGCACAGGCGCGCAGCAGCCCTAGAACTGGGTGTGTGGGAATCACACAGCCTGCTTCTCCCAAATCCCAGGAGGCCAGCCTGAAGGCGCTGGCGCAGGGAACCTCCGGCCGCTGCATCCCGTGGCTGGCAGAGGGGCCTGCGCCAGCTTCCACCTGCCAGAGGGTCTTGGCAAACTCGAGCACCGTCTGACTCCGGGGGCAGGGGGTACTCTCCGTTGTCCCCCCTCTGTATTTTTAAATGCCCACTCCTGCCCCAGGGCTGAGACAGGCATACTACGGGGTGGTTCTCACCCGTGTTTTTATTTCTGCAAAGGCAGCGACGACGCCCTTGCAGAGTCCACTCCCCACGGACTTGGGGGACTCAGGAGAGGTCCACGCCAGCGCCTTGAGGGCAGGTCCCATCCCGCGGCCCTTCATCCCCACCCCTCCCTGCTCAGCCTGTGCAGCTCACCCCGGATCCCAGGCCAAACCCCAGAAACCCACGGCACTCCGACCACTGGGGACGGGGAGCTTGGTGGGGTGCAGCAGGGCAGGCTCTGGGCCATCGAGGAAGGGCAAAGTGACAGTGCTTGTGTGTGTGTGTGTGTGTGCGGGGGGACTGGTGTCCCAAGGCACACGCCACCGGGGTGTGGCAGGCAGGAAGGCGGGGCGGGGGTCTGCAGTCCTAGTCCCTTGGTGCCCCGCCCTCACTCGCTCTCTGAGGAGTCTGAGTAGTCAGCTACCAGGGAGGAACCCAGGCTTTGGGGGGGGGGGGGGGGGTCGGCCGTCTCGCGGGGGGCTCCAGGCGGTGGCAGTGCTGGACAAGGGGCCAGGGCCGGGGTCGGGGCGGGGGCTGGCTTCCGGCAGCTCCCCTCCTGGCCCCTGGGTGCTCGGGCCTTGGGCTCCTTAGTCTCCACGTGCTGCTGAGAATAATCTTGGGGTGCCGAGGCTGGCTCCTGTGGCTTGGCAGCCTTGGGGGTCTCAGCTGCAGATGGGGGGCTGTCGCCAGAGTCTTCCCGTGACGCCCTGGGCAGCCGCACGATGCCCAGGTCCTGGGCGGTGATGGTGGGGCCGGCGGGCGCGGGCCTGCGGCTGTGGGCCAGCTTCTTGAGCACGCTGTTGGCCTTGCTGCTGCAGCCGGGGCTGGGACCTGGACCGGGGCCTGTGGCCGCTGCTGGCGCGAACCAGGAGCGGCTGTTGATCTCCGAGCGCTTCAGCTTCTGCTTGTCCTCATAGGCTGTGGAGGAGGGGGTGGCAGGGTGGGGTGGGGGGCGTCAAGGCAGCGTGGGGCCACCCGGCCCTCCCTCCCCGCCAGCACCCCTCTGCACTCACAGTCCAGCGTTTGGAACTTGAGCAGCCCAGCCAGCTTGCGGTCATGCTCGGTCTCGGGCAGCAGCGGGATGGTCAGGCTGGCCTTGGCCTGCAGCGCCTGGTCCCGCTCCTCCTCCTCCTGCAGGGCCTTCTTCTGCTCCTGCATGGGGGGGCGTGCATCACAGCTCCGCCTCTCCCCTCCCACGGGGGGTCACCCCAGCTTCCTGGGGAGCAGGTGTGGCCACCAATTGCTCCTTGAACCTCACACAGTGCCTGGGACAGGGGCAGGTGGGAGCCTCCAGGCGCCTGCACCACTCTCATTCATTCACTCATTCATTCCACCAAGACAGCACATGAACCTGTCAGGCAGCGGATATTTGCCTTTGCCGTGTGACACTGGGACTTTTGAAAACCTTTATGGGAAAGGCAGTGATGAGAGAGAGAGAGAGAGAGAGAGAGACAGACAGACAGAGAGAGACAGACAGACAGAGAGAGATCCTCCGTCTGCTGGCTCACATCCCAAATGCCCACAGCAGCCAAGGCTGCGGCCAGGAGCTCCATCGGGTCTCCCACGTAGGTGCAGGGACCAAGTATTTGTGCCAGGAATGGCCGCCTTCCCCAAGGGCATCAGCGGGGAGCTGGATGGGACACGGAATAGCCTGGGGTGGCATCCGAGTGCCGCTGTGGGAGATGTGGGGGTCCCGGGGGGCGGCCTGCTCCCCTCCATCAGCATTTAGAGCATGGCCCTTCACTTGACACAGGACCAAGTCTGCTGTAGCAGCCTGGCATGTGTAAGTCACCCTAGGATGCTCCCCCAGTGGTGACGCCACCCCAGGGTGTGACAGGATGCTGGGGGAACATGTCTCCATCAGGGCTTACAGGACTGTGCTGGGGCTCCCTGGGGACACTGGGGCCCCGGCCGGTGGGCAGAGGGACAGCGTGAAGGGGGTGGGATGACTCGGGGCTGGTGGCTGTGGGAGCATCAGTGGGGGTCTCCCCGTGAGTGAGGGAACAGCTTCGGGGTGGTGGGCACAGCGTGTGCCCTGAGCCCACCACGGAGAGACACCTGCCGGGTTGGGAGTGGTGTGGGCCAGGGTGGCAGGGCCAAGGGGGCAGCCCGCTGACCACGGCTCACAGCCGCCCTCTGCTGGCCATTCCCGGGAACTGCTGATGCCGAGATGCATCACTGACCAGGGCTGACCACCGCTGACCACGGCTCACAGCCGCCCTCTGCTGGCCATTCTCGGGAACTGCCGATGCCGAGATGCAGCCCAGGCCCAGCAGGAGAGAAGATGCTGAGATGGACTTGGCTGTGTGGTGGGCAGGAGACAGGCGTGGGGCCAGCTGGGGCGCAGCAGGACGGCTGCAGGGTTGAGGGCAGAGCTCCAGGAACTTGAACATGGCCGTGCCAGTCCCTGAGCTGGGGCATTCTGGATGGCTATGGGAACACCCCCATATGCTCCACTGCCAGCCAGCTCCCTGCCTGTGGCCTGGGAAAGCAGTGGAGGACGGCCCAAAGCCTTGGGACCCTGCACCTGCGTGGGAGACCCGGAAGAGGCTCCTGGCCAGCTCAGCTCCCACTGTGGCCACTTGGGGGGGGAGTGAACCAGCGTGTGGAAGATCTTCCTCTCTGTGTATCTGACTTTGCAATAAAAATAAAACTTGGGCCCGGCGCGGTGGCGCACGGATGGAAGATCTTCCTCTCTGTCTCTCCTCTCTATCTCTCCTCTCTATATATCCGCCTTTCCAATAAAATAAATCTTAAAAAAAAAAACTTTAAAAGTCCAGGGGTCGCCCCGCCTCCCTAACACACACACACATGCACACTCTCGGATATGCAGAGAACAAGGCTTGGCCAGCATGGACTCACACACACCTTACTAGTTAGGACACGGGCATTAAGTACTCCTCACCAAGGTATGCAAGATTTCTCTGCACACCCCTCCTAAAACTGTTTCTCACCTCGATTGTTGAATTGTCATTGAAATAGTCACAGAAAGTTGATAAGGCCTTGCATCCAATTTTGACATATCGCTTGCTCCATACTGTGTCAATTTATCTCTTACTGTTATAGATTGTTGCTGATATTATGTTGGGGGTTTTAATTGACTGGGATTTTGCTTTGTTGGCTTTGCCTTTGGACCGGGGAGGGTCTCCCTAAGAAGCCACTGAACTTGACCAGACAGTAATATGCTGGACTCTATGCTTGGTGTATGCTTGCAATGAAGGGATCTCAACTAAACTTGAACTGTGGTTAGGAACGGGATGTGGGGGGGGAGGAACCCACCATGGGGGGAGAGTTAGGGGAGGGGTGGGGGGAATCCCTGTGCTTATAGAACTGTGTCACATAATATAATGTAATTAAAAAAAAATGTCCTGGGACCCCCCGACTCTGGTGGCCCCCCAGTCCACAGCACCCCCTCCCCAGTGGCCCCTGACCGTGGTGGTGCCCCAGTTCACTGCTCCCCCAGACCGCGGGGCGGAACAGCCTGGTTTATTGTTGGGGTGCAGGTACAGGCAGGACGGCCGCCTGCAGCTCCACGGCCAGGCTGAGGCAACCCACCAGGGCGATGGCTGGGGCCCCGCGCACCTGCCGGGGCCAACAGAGATGCGGTGGGCTTGCGCGTCGGGCCCTTCTCCTCCCCGCCGCCGCCACCGTGCGCGCCCAGGCCGCGCCGCTCCCACCTTCATGGCGCGGATGACCTCCCAGGCCTGCTGCACCGACTCCACCGCCTCGTAGCGGCTCTGCCCCGGCAGCAGCAGCTGGTCCAGGATGTGCAGCGAGCCCCGGGAGGAGCGGATGGCTTCCAGCGCCATGGCCTCGGTAGCCGCCGTGCGCGCTCAGGCCGCCTTCCGCAGCGCGTGCGCCCGGGACGCACGGGAACGGGGCGGGACCAGGTCTCTGGGCGGGGAAAGCTCCGGAGCCGGACGCACAGGCGCGCAGCAGCCCTAGAACTGGGTGTGTGGGAATCACACAGCCTGCTTCTCTCCCAAATCCCAGGAGGCCAGCCTGAAGGCGCTGGCGCAGGGAACCTCCGGCCGCTGCATCCCGTGGCTGGCAGAGGGGCCTGCGCCAGCTTCCACCTGCCAGAGGGTCTTGGCAAACTCGAGCACCGTCTGACTCCGGGGGCAGGGGGTACTCTCCGTTGTCCCCCCTCTGTATTTTTAAATGCCCACTCCTGCCCCAGGGCTGAGACAGGCATACTACGGGGTGGTTCTCACCCGTGTTTTTATTTCTGCAAAGGCAGCGACGACGCCCTTGCAGAGTCCACTCCCCACGGACTTGGGGGACTCAGGAGAGGTCCACGCCAGCGCCTTGAGGGCAGGTCCCATCCCGCGGCCCTTCATCCCCACCCCTCCCTGCTCAGCCTGTGCAGCTCACCCCGGATCCCAGGCCAAACCCCAGAAACCCACGGCACTCCGACCACTGGGGAGGGGGAGCTTGGTGGGGTGCAGCAGGGCAGGCTCTGGGCCATCGAGGAAGGGCAAAGTGACAGTGCTTGTGTGTGTGTGTGTGTGTGCGCGGGGGACTGGTGTCCCAAGGCACACGCCACCGGGGTGTGGCAGGCAGGAAGGCGGGGCGGGGGTCTGCAGTCCTAGTCCCTTGGTGCCCCGCCCTCACTCGCTCTCTGAGGAGTCTGAGTAGTCAGCTACCAGGGAGGAACCCAGGCTTTGGGGGGGTGGGGTGGGGTCGGCCGTCTCGCGGGGGGCTCCAGGCGGTGGCAGTGCTGGACAAGGGGCCAGGGCCGGGGTCGGGGCGGGGGCTGGCTTCCGGCAGCTCCCCTCCTGGCCCCTGGGTGCTCGGGCCTTGGGCTCCTTAGTCTCCACGTGCTGCTGAGAATAATCTTGGGGTGCCGAGGCTGGCTCCTGTGGCTTGGCAGCCTTGGGGGTCTCAGCTGCAGATGGGGGGCTGTCGCCAGAGTCTTCCCGTGACGCCCTGGGCAGCCGCACGATGCCCAGGTCCTGGGCGGTGATGGTGGGGCCGGCGGGCGCGGGCCTGCGGCTGTGGGCCAGCTTCTTGAGCACGCTGTTGGCCTTGCTGCTGCAGCCGGGGCTGGGACCTGGACCGGGGCCTGTGGCCGCTGCTGGCGCGAACCAGGAGCGGCTGTTGATCTCCGAGCGCTTCAGCTTCTGCTTGTCCTCATAGGCTGTGGAGGAGGGGGTGGCAGGGTGGGGTGGGGGGCGTCAAGGCAGCGTGGGGCCACCCGGCCCTCCCTCCCCGCCAGCACCCCTCTGCACTCACAGTCCAGCGTTTGGAACTTGAGCAGCCCAGCCAGCTTGCGGTCATGCTCGGTCTCGGGCAGCAGCGGGATGGTCAGGCTGGCCTTGGCCTGCAGCGCCTGGTCCCGCTCCTCCTCCTCCTGCAGGGCCTTCTTCTGCTCCTGCATGGGGGGGCGTGCATCACAGCTCCGCCTCTCCCCTCCCACGGGGGGTCACCCCAGCTTCCTGGGGAGCAGGTGTGGCCACCAATTGCTCCTTGAACCTCACACAGTGCCTGGGACAGGGGCAGGTGGGAGCCTCCAGGCGCCTGCACCACTCTCATTCATTCACTCATTCATTCCACCAAGACAGCACATGAACCTGTCAGGCAGCGGATATTTGCCTTTGCCGTGTGACACTGGGACTTTTGAAAACCTTTATGGGAAAGGCAGTGATGAGAGAGAGAGAGAGAGAGAGAGAGAGACAGACAGACAGAGAGAGACAGACAGACAGAGAGAGATCCTCCGTCTGCTGGCTCACATCCCAAATGCCCACAGCAGCCAAGGCTGCGGCCAGGAGCTCCATCGGGTCTCCCACGTAGGTGCAGGGACCAAGTATTTGTGCCAGGAATGGCCGCCTTCCCCAAGGGCATCAGCGGGGAGCTGGATGGGACACGGAATAGCCTGGGGTGGCATCCGAGTGCCGCTGTGGGAGATGTGGGGGTCCCGGGGGGCGGCCTGCTCCCCTCCATCAGCATTTAGAGCATGGCCCTTCACTTGACACAGGACCAAGTCTGCTGTAGCAGCCTGGCATGTGTAAGTCACCCTAGGATGCTCCCCCAGTGGTGACGCCACCCCAGGGTGTGACAGGATGCTGGGGGAACATGTCTCCATCAGGGCTTACAGGACTGTGCTGGGGCTCCCTGGGGACACTGGGGCCCCGGCCGGTGGGCAGAGGGACAGCGTGAAGGGGGTGGGATGACTCGGGGCTGGTGGCTGTGGGAGCATCAGTGGGGGTCTCCCCGTGAGTGAGGGAACAGCTTCGGGGTGGTGGGCACAGCGTGTGCCCTGAGCCCACCACGGAGAGACACCTGCCGGGTTGGGAGTGGTGTGGGCCAGGGTGGCAGGGCCAAGGGGGCAGCCCGCTGACCACGGCTCACAGCCGCCCTCTGCTGGCCATTCCCGGGAACTGCTGATGCCGAGATGCATCACTGACCAGGGCTGACCACCGCTGACCACGGCTCACAGCCGCCCTCTGCTGGCCATTCTCGGGAACTGCCGATGCCGAGATGCAGCCCAGGCCCAGCAGGAGAGAAGATGCTGAGATGGACTTGGCTGTGTGGTGGGCAGGAGGCAGGCGTGGGGCCAGCTGGGGCGCAGCAGGACGGCTGCAGGGTTGAGGGCAGAGCTCCAGGAACTTGAACATGGCCGTGCCAGTCCCTGAGCTGGGGCATTCTGGATGGCTATGGGAACACCCCCATATGCTCCACTGCCAGCCAGCTCCCTGCCTGTGGCCTGGGAAAGCAGTGGAGGACGGCCCAAAGCCTTGGGACCCTGCACCTGCGTGGGAGACCCGGAAGAGGCTCCTGGCCAGCTCAGCTCCCACTGTGGCCACTTGGGGGGGGAGTGAACCAGCGTGTGGAAGATCTTCCTCTCTGTGTATCTGACTTTGCAATAAAAATAAAACTTGGGCCCGGCGCGGTGGCGCACGGATGGAAGATCTTCCTCTCTGTCTCTCCTCTCTATCTCTCCTCTCTATATATCCGCCTTTCCAATAAAATAAATCTTAAAAAAAAAAACTTTAAAAGTCCAGGGGTCGCCCCGCCTCCCTAACACACACACACATGCACACTCTCGGATATGCAGAGAACAAGGCTTGGCCAGCATGGACTCACACACACCTTACTAGTTAGGACACGGGCATTAAGTACTCCTCACCAAGGTATGCAAGATTTCTCTGCACACCCCTCCTAAAACTGTTTCTCACCTCGATTGTTGAATTGTCATTGAAATAGTCACAGAAAGTTGATAAGGCCTTGCATCCAATTTTGACATATCGCTTGCTCCATACTGTGTCAATTTATCTCTTACTGTTATAGATTGTTGCTGATATTATGTTGGGGGTTTTAATTGACTGGGATTTTGCTTTGTTGGCTTTGCCTTTGGACCGGGGAGGGTCTCCCTAAGAAGCCACTGAACTTGACCAGACAGTAATATGCTGGACTCTATGCTTGGTGTATGCTTGCAATGAAGGGATCTCAACTAAACTTGAACTGTGGTTAGGAACGGGATGTGGGGGGGGAGGAACCCACCATGGGGGGAGAGTTAGGGGAGGGGTGGGGGGAATCCCTGTGCTTATAGAACTGTGTCACATAATATAATGTAATTAAAAAAAAATGTCCTGGGACCCCCGACTCTGGTGGCCCCCCAGTCCACAGCACCCCCTCCCCAGTGGCCCCTGACCGTGGTGGTGCCCCAGTTCACTGCTCCCCCAGACCGCGGGGCGGAACAGCCTGGTTTATTGTTGGGGTGCAGGTACAGGCAGGACGGCCGCCTGCAGCTCCACGGCCAGGCTGAGGCAACCCACCAGGGCGATGGCTGGGGCCCCGCGCACCTGCCGGGGCCAACAGAGATGCGGTGGGCTTGCGCGTCGGGCCCTTCTCCTCCCCGCCGCCGCCACCGTGCGCGCCCAGGCCGCGCCGCTCCCACCTTCATGGCGCGGATGACCTCCCAGGCCTGCTGCACCGACTCCACCGCCTCGTAGCGGCTCTGCCCCGGCAGCAGCAGCTGGTCCAGGATGTGCAGCGAGCCCCGGGAGGAGCGGATGGCTTCCAGCGCCATGGCCTCGGTAGCCGCCGTGCGCGCTCAGCCGCCTTCCGCAGCGCGTGCGCCCGGGACGCACGGGAACGGGGCGGGACCAGGTCTCTGGGCGGGGAAAGCTCCGGAGCCGGACGCACAGGCGCGCAGCAGCCCTAGAACTGGGTGTGTGGGAATCACACAGCCTGCTTCTCCCAAATCCCAGGAGGCCAGCCTGAAGGCGCTGGCGCAGGGAACCTCCGGCCGCTGCATCCCGTGGCTGGCAGAGGGGCCTGCGCCAGCTTCCACCTGCCAGAGGGTCTTGGCAAACTCGAGCACCGTCTGACTCCGGGGGCAGGGGGTACTCTCCGTTGTCCCCCCTCTGTATTTTTAAATGCCCACTCCTGCCCCAGGGCTGAGACAGGCATACTACGGGGTGGTTCTCACCCGTGTTTTTATTTCTGCAAAGGCAGCGACGACGCCCTTGCAGAGTCCACTCCCCACGGACTTGGGGGACTCAGGAGAGGTCCACGCCAGCGCCTTGAGGGCAGGTCCCATCCCGCGGCCCTTCATCCCCACCCCTCCCTGCTCAGCCTGTGCAGCTCACCCCGGATCCCAGGCCAAACCCCAGAAACCCACGGCACTCCGACCACTGGGGACGGGGAGCTTGGTGGGGTGCAGCAGGGCAGGCTCTGGGCCATCGAGGAAGGGCAAAGTGACAGTGCTTGTGTGTGTGTGTGTGTGTGCGCGGGGGGACTGGTGTCCCAAGGCACACGCCACCGGGGTGTGGCAGGCAGGAAGGCGGGGCGGGGGTCTGCAGTCCTAGTCCCTTGGTGCCCCGCCCTCACTCGCTCTCTGAGGAGTCTGAGTAGTCAGCTACCAGGGAGGAACCCAGGCTTTGGGGGGGTGGGGTGGGGTCGGCCGTCTCGCGGGGGGCTCCAGGCGGTGGCAGTGCTGGACAAGGGGCCAGGGCCGGGGTCGGGGCGGGGGCTGGCTTCCGGCAGCTCCCCTCCTGGCCCCTGGGTGCTCGGGCCTTGGGCTCCTTAGTCTCCACGTGCTGCTGAGAATAATCTTGGGGTGCCGAGGCTGGCTCCTGTGGCTTGGCAGCCTTGGGGGTCTCAGCTGCAGATGGGGGGCTGTCGCCAGAGTCTTCCCGTGACGCCCTGGGCAGCCGCACGATGCCCAGGTCCTGGGCGGTGATGGTGGGGCCGGCGGGCGCGGGCCTGCGGCTGTGGGCCAGCTTCTTGAGCACGCTGTTGGCCTTGCTGCTGCAGCCGGGGCTGGGACCTGGACCGGGGCCTGTGGCCGCTGCTGGCGCGAACCAGGAGCGGCTGTTGATCTCCGAGCGCTTCAGCTTCTGCTTGTCCTCATAGGCTGTGGAGGAGGGGGTGGCAGGGTGGGGTGGGGGGCGTCAAGGCAGCGTGGGGCCACCCGGCCCTCCCTCCCCGCCAGCACCCCTCTGCACTCACAGTCCAGCGTTTGGAACTTGAGCAGCCCAGCCAGCTTGCGGTCATGCTCGGTCTCGGGCAGCAGCGGGATGGTCAGGCTGGCCTTGGCCTGCAGCGCCTGGTCCCGCTCCTCCTCCTCCTGCAGGGCCTTCTTCTGCTCCTGCATGGGGGGGCGTGCATCACAGCTCCGCCTCTCCCCTCCCACGGGGGGTCACCCCAGCTTCCTGGGGAGCAGGTGTGGCCACCAATTGCTCCTTGAACCTCACACAGTGCCTGGGACAGGGGCAGGTGGGAGCCTCCAGGCGCCTGCACCACTCTCATTCATTCACTCATTCATTCCACCAAGACAGCACATGAACCTGTCAGGCAGCGGATATTTGCCTTTGCCGTGTGACACTGGGACTTTTGAAAACCTTTATGGGAAAGGCAGTGATGAGAGAGAGAGAGAGAGAGAGAGAGAGACAGACAGACAGAGAGAGACAGACAGACAGAGAGAGATCCTCCGTCTGCTGGCTCACATCCCAAATGCCCACAGCAGCCAAGGCTGCGGCCAGGAGCTCCATCGGGTCTCCCACGTAGGTGCAGGGACCAAGTATTTGTGCCAGGAATGGCCGCCTTCCCCAAGGGCATCAGCGGGGAGCTGGATGGGACACGGAATAGCCTGGGGTGGCATCCGAGTGCCGCTGTGGGAGATGTGGGGGTCCCGGGGGGCGGCCTGCTCCCCTCCATCAGCATTTAGAGCATGGCCCTTCACTTGACACAGGACCAAGTCTGCTGTAGCAGCCTGGCATGTGTAAGTCACCCTAGGATGCTCCCCCAGTGGTGACGCCACCCCAGGGTGTGACAGGATGCTGGGGGAACATGTCTCCATCAGGGCTTACAGGACTGTGCTGGGGCTCCCTGGGGACACTGGGGCCCCGGCCGGTGGGCAGAGGGACAGCGTGAAGGGGGTGGGATGACTCGGGGCTGGTGGCTGTGGGAGCATCAGTGGGGGTCTCCCCGTGAGTGAGGGAACAGCTTCGGGGTGGTGGGCACAGCGTGTGCCCTGAGCCCACCACGGAGAGACACCTGCCGGGTTGGGAGTGGTGTGGGCCAGGGTGGCAGGGCCAAGGGGGCAGCCCGCTGACCACGGCTCACAGCCGCCCTCTGCTGGCCATTCCCGGGAACTGCTGATGCCGAGATGCATCACTGACCAGGGCTGACCACCGCTGACCACGGCTCACAGCCGCCCTCTGCTGGCCATTCTCGGGAACTGCCGATGCCGAGATGCAGCCCAGGCCCAGCAGGAGAGAAGATGCTGAGATGGACTTGGCTGTGTGGTGGGCAGGAGACAGGCATGGGGCCAGCTGGGGCGCAGCAGGACGGCTGCAGGGTTGAGGGCAGAGCTCCAGGAACTTGAACATGGCCGTGCCAGTCCCTGAGCTGGGGCATTCTGGATGGCTATGGGAACACCCCCATATGCTCCACTGCCAGCCAGCTCCCTGCCTGTGGCCTGGGAAAGCAGTGGAGGACGGCCCAAAGCCTTGGGACCCTGCACCTGCGTGGGAGACCCGGAAGAGGCTCCTGGCCAGCTCAGCTCCCACTGTGGCCACTTGGGGGGGGAGTGAACCAGCGTGTGGAAGATCTTCCTCTCTGTGTATCTGACTTTGCAATAAAAATAAAACTTGGGCCCGGCGCGGTGGCGCACGGATGGAAGATCTTCCTCTCTGTCTCTCCTCTCTATCTCTCCTCTCTATATATCCGCCTTTCCAATAAAATAAATCTTAAAAAAAAAAACTTTAAAAGTCCAGGGGTCGCCCCGCCTCCCTAACACACACACACATGCACACTCTCGGATATGCAGAGAACAAGGCTTGGCCAGCATGGACTCACACACACCTTACTAGTTAGGACACGGGCATTAAGTACTCCTCACCAAGGTATGCAAGATTTCTCTGCACACCCCTCCTAAAACTGTTTCTCACCTCGATTGTTGAATTGTCATTGAAATAGTCACAGAAAGTTGATAAGGCCTTGCATCCAATTTTGACATATCGCTTGCTCCATACTGTGTCAATTTATCTCTTACTGTTATAGATTGTTGCTGATATTATGTTGGGGGTTTTAATTGACTGGGATTTTGCTTTGTTGGCTTTGCCTTTGGACCGGGGAGGGTCTCCCTAAGAAGCCACTGAACTTGACCAGACAGTAATATGCTGGACTCTATGCTTGGTGTATGCTTGCAATGAAGGGATCTCAACTAAACTTGAACTGTGGTTAGGAACGGGATGTGGGGGGGGAGGAACCCACCATGGGGGGAGAGTTAGGGGAGGGGTGGGGGGAATCCCTGTGCTTATAGAACTGTGTCACATAATATAATGTAATTAAAAAAAAATGTCCTGGGACCCCCGACTCTGGTGGCCCCCCAGTCCACAGCACCCCCTCCCCAGTGGCCCCTGACCGTGGTGGTGCCCCAGTTCACTGCTCCCCCAGACCGCGGGGCGGAACAGCCTGGTTTATTGTTGGGGTGCAGGTACAGGCAGGACGGCCGCCTGCAGCTCCACGGCCAGGCTGAGGCAACCCACCAGGGCGATGGCTGGGGCCCCGCGCACCTGCCGGGGCCAACAGAGATGCGGTGGGCTTGCGCGTCGGGCCCTTCTCCTCCCCGCCGCCGCCACCGTGCGCGCCCAGGCCGCGCCGCTCCCACCTTCATGGCGCGGATGACCTCCCAGGCCTGCTGCACCGACTCCACCGCCTCGTAGCGGCTCTGCCCCGGCAGCAGCAGCTGGTCCAGGATGTGCAGCGAGCCCCGGGAGGAGCGGATGGCTTCCAGCGCCATGGCCTCGGTAGCCGCCGTGCGCGCTCAGCCGCCTTCCGCAGCGCGTGCGCCCGGGACGCACGGGAACGGGGCGGGACCAGGTCTCTGGGCGGGGAAAGCTCCGGAGCCGGACGCACAGGCGCGCAGCAGCCCTAGAACTGGGTGTGTGGGAATCACACAGCCTGCTTCTCCCAAATCCCAGGAGGCCAGCCTGAAGGCGCTGGCGCAGGGAACCTCCGGCCGCTGCATCCCGTGGCTGGCAGAGGGGCCTGCGCCAGCTTCCACCTGCCAGAGGGTCTTGGCAAACTCGAGCACCGTCTGACTCCGGGGGCAGGGGGTACTCTCCGTTGTCCCCCCTCTGTATTTTTAAATGCCCACTCCTGCCCCAGGGCTGAGACAGGCATACTACGGGGTGGTTCTCACCCGTGTTTTTATTTCTGCAAAGGCAGCGACGACGCCCTTGCAGAGTCCACTCCCCACGGACTTGGGGGACTCAGGAGAGGTCCACGCCAGCGCCTTGAGGGCAGGTCCCATCCCGCGGCCCTTCATCCCCACCCCTCCCTGCTCAGCCTGTGCAGCTCACCCCGGATCCCAGGCCAAACCCCAGAAACCCACGGCACTCCGACCACTGGGGACGGGGAGCTTGGTGGGGTGCAGCAGGGCAGGCTCTGGGCCATCGAGGAAGGGCAAAGTGACAGTGCTTGTGTGTGTGTGTGTGTGTGCGCGGGGGGACTGGTGTCCCAAGGCACACGCCACCGGGGTGTGGCAGGCAGGAAGGCGGGGCGGGGGTCTGCAGTCCTAGTCCCTTGGTGCCCCGCCCTCACTCGCTCTCTGAGGAGTCTGAGTAGTCAGCTACCAGGGAGGAACC